AAAGTTTTTAATTTTGATGAAGTCAAATTTATTTTTGTTGTTGTTGTTGCTTGTGATTTTGGTGTCATATCTAAGAAACCATTGCCTAATCCCAGGTCACAAAGACTTATGCCTGTGTTTTCTTCTAAGAGTTTTATAGTTTAAGCTCTTACATTTAGGTCTTTGGTCCATTTTGAATTGATATATAAATATGGTGGGAGTTGGTTGCTTTAGGGGTCATAGCATACGTCTGATCTTGTCAGTCGACCTCCAAGTGATAGTAGAGACTTCACACGCAGTATAAACACCTTACAATAGCATATTTCTGTTTCTTCCCTCCCCACCTTTATTCTATGTTGTCATACATTTTATTTTTACATATTATATATCCCGCAACACATCATTATTAATATGTTTAAACAATTACTATTTTTTTGCACCCTCCCACCTTTAAACAATTACATTTAAAAGAGATTTAAGTAATGTGAGAAAAATCTTACCCAGGTAATTACCTCTTCCAGTCCTCTTCATTCCCTTGTGCTGGTCTCTATTTCTACGGTATCAATTTTCTTCTACCTTAAAGGTGTCCTTTAACATTCCTTGTAATGTGGCCAAAGTGACAGTGAATTCTTTCAGCTTTCATATGTCTGAAAACACCTTTATTTTGCCTTTGCTTTTTAAATATATTTTCTCAGGGTATAGAATTCAAGGTAGAAGGTTTATTTTCTTTAGTACTTTAAAGCCTTTGCCCCTCTTGCTTGCGCTGTTTCTGATGAGGAATCTGCTGTCTTTATCTTTGTTTCTCTGTAGTGTGTCTTTGCTCTGAAAGAACTTCAGAATTTTCTTTTTTCATTGGTTTTGAGCAATGATTTTTAATTATCATGGGCCTTGATGTAGTTTTCTTCTATTGTTTTTTTGTTTGAGTTGATGGAACTTCTTGTATCTATGGATTTATAGTTTTCATCAAGTTGTGAAAATTTTTGACCATTATTTCTTCAAATAATTGTTCCATCCCTCCCCTTTCTCTCTC